GTGGGATTGATTTTTTAAATGGGGATTGACGGTTTCTTGATGATCAAACTAGTTTAGCATTCTTTTCCCCATTTGGAGATATTTCTCCAATTTTATTGCTTGTAGATCTCTTTCACATCCCTTTGTTGATTTCTCTTTTTCCTTTCTAATCTTTTGTGAATTACATTGGTCCTATTGATGGTTTTGATTAAAATCTGGACATGACTATTCGGGGATCGAACGTCTTCATTCATTCATGTATTCATTTTTCTCTACCTGTTGAGTATCATCTTCCTGTCGATCATCTCTGGAACTCTCCTTTACCTGCCTTTTTTTGTATTACTGTATTCTATCAGCCCTTAATTGAAAATTGTTCGAATTGAAACTCCTTGTAGCCACACCCCTAATGGCAGAAATTCAATTAACAATCTTACTCAGAGGCTTCTTTTGGCCTCTCATTTTGTTTCCATCTATCCGTGCTTGTCTTCTTTCTTTTGCAAATGTTTCTGGCTTCTTTGCTCCCATCAGAGTTCCAGCACAAGCTTATCTTTTAAGATCTATAAGATGCCAAGGACGAGGTCAAGTGCTGCAGCTACTAAACCAGGCGAAACTAACAAGCTTGTTGAGTTCGAAGATCATGTGAACACGGATGGAGAAAATGATAATGACGAGGCAGTGGAGGAGGAAGTTGAGTATGAAGAAGTAGAAGAAGAAGTAGAAGAAGAAGTAGAAGTGGAAGAAGATGAAGAGGTAGAAGTAGAAGAGGAAGAAGTGGAAGAGGTAGATGAGGATGAGGAAGAGGAGGAAGTAGAAGAAGAGGAAGAAGAAACAGAGGAACATGATGTCAGTGGTGGTGGTGAGCAGAATGTCATAAATGATGAGAACATGAAAGATGCTGAGATAGAAGAGGAAGTGAAAAAAAAACACAATCAACTTCTTGCACTTCCTCCTCATGGTTCAGAGGTTTACCTCGGTGGCTTTACTCAAGATGTTTCTGAAGATGACCTTGGGAGTTTTTGCGGATCCATAGGGGAAGTTACAGAGGTAAATCATTTCCGTCCTTCTTGTGTGCAATGTCTATTTGACTTCTTATCCTGCAGAGGTTTTGCATGCCAATTGCAGATCAGGATAATGAAAGGAAAGGGCTCAAATGAGAACAAAGGATATGCATTTGTCACTTTCAGGACGAAGGAAATGGCATCTGAGGCCATCAAGTCTCTTAATAATACTGAACTTAAGGTAAGTAGGGCAGTCTTGAAACCCTTTCCTTTGCCAAGAGAACTTCTTCTCTTCTGAATTATCCTGCTATGATTTCCATTTTTTTCACATCCGTACCATTCAACATTTTCTGACTTTTCTGGTTTACAATGGAATCTGTATTTTTAGGGAAGAAGGCTGAAGTGTTCTACATCTCAGGAAAAGCACCGGTTGTTCATTGGTAACGTTCCAAGAAGCTGGGGGGAGGAAGATATGAAAAAGGTTGTAACCAAGGTTGGGCCTGGCGTTATTACTGTGGAGCTACTAAAGGTCTGGGTCGTCCCACTGCATTTTTTGTCATACTGTTTTTATTGAGTTAGCATACCCTTTCTTCCTTAAAAAGAGTGATACCCATTTCTTTTGCTTGTTATCTATTAGTCTCCTCCCTCCATGGAACACCCCTTTCTCCCAGCAAGGCATGGATAGATAAACTTTTCTGTTGGGTTGTGTATGTTTTGATCAATTAAGAGGTGCTGTTACAGGACCCACAAAACTCTAGCCGAAATCGTGGTTTTGCATTCATTGAGTATTACAATCATGCATGTGCTGAATATTCCAGAGAAAAGATGTCTGATTCGAGCTTTAAACTTGATGAAAATGCCCCAACAGTGAGCTGGGCAGACCCAAAGAATGTAGAATCTTCGGCTTCCTCTCTGGTAATTCTCTTAAATTGAACAATTTTACTGATACTTTCATTGGCAATGAATCTTCTAGCCCCAAGAATGATTATAAAGTTCATCCTGCTATGGGTAATTTCTTACTCTGTTTCATAAGAAGCCTTCAATATGCATCAGATATTAATGCTCTTTTGAACTTCTTTGACCCTGCCTTTCCATTGATATCTGTTGAATGTATTTGCTTAATAAATGTATAGGTGGTAGTCTGATTTAGTTGGATACATATATTACATCCTCTAAAAGGGGATTTTCTATTTTAAGTGATTTTTATGGATTTCAACTTATTGAAGTTGCTCATTATGCTAGATAGGCACATCTTTCTTCAATGCGTAGAAGAAAAACACCTGCTATATCCTGCATCTAGAGACTGCACCATATTTTTGTGAAAAAACGTCTACTGTGTTACTTAAAATTGCATTTCGGGAGTTTGTTCAGTTTTGTTAACTACACTTATGTGGTAACTTTTTTCCTCATTTGTAGGTTAAAGCCGTCTATGTGAAGAATCTACCCAAAAATGTTACCCAGGATCAGCTGAGAAAGTCGTTTGAGCATCATGGGAAGATCACAAAGGTGGTTCTTCCTCCTGCAAAACCAGGGCATGAAAATAGCAGATTTGGCTTTGTTCACTTTGCTGAAAGATCTAGTGCAATGAAGGCTTTGAAGAATACAGAGAAATATGTGATAGATGGTAAACTGTTGTTTGAAAATTACTTCATGTACAATGCTTTCTTTATGATAACTTCTTGTCAAGTTGATTTTGGTTGGTTAATACTGGACTTACTTGATAGGTCAAGTTTTGGAGTGCTCGCTTGCTAAGCCACAGGCAGATCAAAAGTCTTCTGGACAACCAAATTCACAGAAGGCAGCTGTTCTTCCTTCCTATCCCTCTCCTCTTGGATATGGCTTGGTTGGTGCCAACTATGGTGCTGTTAGTGGAGGTTTAACCCAAGTAAGATAATATTCAATTTGTAGGTCAAAAGGTTTTCTTTTTCACATAGTTAACTATCTCCACTTTTTCTTTTGGGTTCAGTTGGGTCTTTGTGCTCTATCTTGTTCTCATTGTGTGCTATATTAGCTTGGCATGCTTATTTCCATTTTTCAGTTCAAGAGCAGGCTTATTTTATTACTGAGTGCGCAATAAATTTTTCCTTTTTTTTTTTACCTCTTTTTGAAAATCCACATAGAAGAACATACTTAAATTATATGCTGGTTGGGCAAGAAAAATTAATTATGCATGTTTGGTAGACAAGCTACTGCATCTCATGTATGTGAGCATGCGCTTCTCTTTTTTTTTTTTTTTTGGTCAAGTAGTGTGCCTTTGCTTGTTTGTCTGTTAATCACTTCTGCACTGACAATGATTATGAGATTACATACTCCATGAATTGCATAATACAGCTTTTGTTTTGACTTGATACAGTTTTTGGGCCAAATAAATAGTATTCTATTGCATGTTAGTTACTAACTTACATTTTATTTCCTCAATATGATCTATAACTATTTGGGGAATAGTGCCTTGCTTGAAAAGTTAATTCACAATTTTCTGTTTTCCTGAATACAAATTGCATGTAATTACTGAGACGAGATTATGGTGCAAGAGTTCTTAGACAATATTCTCTATCAAAACCTGGGTTAAGCATGAGTATAGCAGGCAATGATTCTGTTCGTTGAGATCCTTTCCTTTTTTTTTTTTTTTTTGCAGCCGCTGGTCTATGGAACGGGAGCTGCGCCTCCTGGCTTGGCAATGATACCGATGCTTTTGCCTGATGGAAGGATTGGATATGTCCTGTAAGTAAACGCTTCAGTGTTATTTGAACTTGGAAGTCTAAATCCCTGTTTTCTTATCGTAGTGGTTCCTAAGAAGCTTTAGTACTTCATGGCAAAAATTCTAGACCTGAGTTCCAGAGGATTCCTAAATGTTGTTTTGAAGATGTACATAACATGGAAGAATAGAAGTATTAGTTGAGTAGGATTATCATACATGTAAAGTTTGAAGACGGTTGATGCAGTTCCACATAATGGATTTTCTGCTGATATGTGTGCTTGTATTATTGTCATCTACTGATCTAGCTCTGAATCCTGTGAAATTAGTTTGGTTTGCCATGGTGATTTTACGCGGTTTTGGTACTAGTTTTTCTGTCATGTGCTAAGCCTTGCCACATCCTATTCTTTTTGACTACTGTAAAAGGCTTGATCATGGTTCCAATTTTGGAACTGTATTTGCTAAGGTTCAGAGAATAGGCTGAAATTCTTTAGTTGAACAATTGTTCGGCAGTTTGAATTCCAAGCTTTCTATCACAAGGTGCTTTAATGCAGAAAGTTCGAAATGAATCTTTCTCTCACTCTCTCTCTCTCTCTCTCTAGGCAACAGCCACAACCTCAGACACCACAACCATTGCAACGAGGTGGCCGCAGTGGGACAACAGCAGGTTCAAGTGGTGGAAGACGTGGTGGTGATAGAGGCCGTGGACGTAGCCGATACAACCCTTACTGAGGAATGAATTCACTGTTTGACTTCTCTAGGGTGGTCTCGAGCGTGGGATGCTCATTTGAAATGTATTTGTCTGACATTTGAACATGGAGATAGTTTGTACATCAATGTGACATATAGGGAAAACAACTGAAATGGCAAGTTGCATCTTCTTTTTCAAAATTTCGTATTTTTCCGGGCCTTTTAATTTGCAGTTTCACTTGTGAACGATTAGAGGAAGCTGCCTGGCTAAGTTCTACAGATTTTAGGGAATGTTTACATTGAAAAGCTAACCTACCACGAGCATAAAGTTATGTTTCCCATTTTCCTTTCAAATTAAAGATGTGATCTATGTCAAGAACGGGCATCCATTTGGAACCGAAATCGTACATATGATCAATCATGGTTTGGCGTTGGCATAAAATTAAGTACGTGCAATTGAATTTGAGGTGGGCGCGGCTTGGGCATCCATCCGGCGCACCATTTGGCTAGCTTGACCAGCATGTATATATGCGGATGCCGGGTGGATGAGTTCCTGTGAGTTTTGAATCCTCTGGTCCTAGCCCGTCTCGTGTATAAGCGAGTACCCAGCCCCTTTTTTTTTTTTTGATATGATCAAATACTGTGAAACAAGCATCATATTTTTCGAATCAATTCGGATATCATGGGTTTTTAAATCAAGGGGTATTTTGGCCCGCTTCTAAATTAATACTTGATCAGGGCAGAGAGTGAGATGCTGGAAACATGGAAAGGCATAGCTAGCAGTACTGACAGAAGGGCCAAGGATGATTCACTGCAAAGCCCGGGTTTCGTTCTGTCGGGGACTCCTCTTCACTCTTCAGGCGGCTAAAAGCTCATCCTTAATGGCTCAATGGGGTTCGCTACCCAAAGACCTCGCAAGGTGAGATTTTAGTTATGAATGCTATATGGCCTGATTAATCAATTACAAATTTGCATTAGTGCACGATTACTCAGCAATACCAAAGATACATGCTTCAAATACAACTTCCGGAGATGCTAAATTCTCATGTTCATGACATGCCCGTGAAGTTATTATAAGTAAAGGGGAGAAACACCATAAAAAAAAAAATTCAATAATTGCAAAATGCATTTTTGCCAGTAAAAATATAAATAAAATCACTCAAGTGTCTAAAGAAAAATCTACACTCCTCATTGTAGTTTATTGATCTATTAAATAAACTAAACACCTCAAAATTCTGCATCCTAGAATAAACCCAAAGTACAACTCATATCTTCATGCGTTATTAATTGACAAAGAGAAAAGAGGTGCTGCACTGCCCTTCAATTCAACAATCTCAAACTACACGATACTTATTAGCAGCATTATCTTGCTTGAGCTTTCATGTAAATGAAAGAGTGAGCTCCTGACAAGGTAAAACAAAAGGAATTTGAAATTTTCAACTGCAGTTATCAAATTGAGATAATCAAGCTATTCAGGTGTTTATAATGCGTACAGAGCATCACTAGACCGTGATTATCTATATCACACCACTAATTACTGGAGAGTAACAAAGATATGTAGTTCGCATATCAGAATCAAAGTCCAATCATATTTCCATAATACTCGAAGATTCTGATGTTAAAGCAAACTTCTTTTATAAGCAAGTGCAATCATTCTTCGGGAAAGGGGAGAAAACAGATACTCAAAGAGGTGGGGGAGGAGTTAAGACCCTAAAAACAAACTCATGTCCAACTAGTTGGTTCACGGAGGACCGGAATTTGCTCCTCTGATTCCCAGTAGTGGCTTAATGGTGGTCTAAGGGGAAAAGGTAGTCCTGCTCTATAATTGGCATTACCAGAAACACTTGTTACTTTCATGTTTCTGCCCACAGCATTGTGGTTGCTTACCTAAATTGAATACTGCACCATCCAAAGTCAACCAAATTAATGAAAAACAAAGGCAGAATAGGCTTTCTTTTGCTAAGATAAGTTCCACTTCCTACTTCCCAGGTCCTCCAAGTTTTCACCAGCAGCAGTCCACAATTTGCTTCAAGTTACCAATGGGGGCAACGGCCATTTGCTCTCATTTACTCAAAAACTAACTTTGGTTTTTTTTTTTTTTTTTTAAATGAAAGTTCGCGCCTGCCGCACAATTTTTCAAAAGAGATCACTGAAAGACTTGAACAACCAACCATGTATACAATTTCTATCACAAATAAGATGTGATAGATCTAACTCAAATGAACCAGCAACTCAACAAAAGAGGAAAACCAGATACATTCATAATTTGCAGAACAGAAGCAAGATAGACCATCATAAGCAACAGTGCCCAAGTCCCTAATACTATTCGACTTGCAATAATACTACTTGAAGAGACTCAAGCTTTGTGATTATGTATACTGTATCAGAAAGAATACTAGGAGTTTGCTAAGATTAAGAAACCATGCATAAGTCACCTGTATAACAAGTATCATCAATGGCACCCCACACAGATTAAGTAAAATGGTCAAGGGGGATAAAAAAGGTGTCAAAACTTCTATAACAAGAAAAACAGTTACCTATTCCACTGGCCTTTCTAAGCAAAGCTTGAATGATCTTCAGGTGGTTCAATCCAAATGCTTCCAAAAGGATCTTCTTCCCCCCAATCATAGAACTGCTTTCTGGGGTAGTATCTATTATCGTCAAGGGAGTATGACACGCAATGCTTTCCATAAAAGCGAACCTTAGAAAAGTAAACACTATTTCTCATAGTCCCAAGAAGATCTATCTTTGCATGGGAGGACAAGAAACTTGCAAAGATAGATAGACCACCTAAAGTTTTCACCTCCACCCATTCTTTAATTGCTTGGTCTAATTTATACATCACAGGGTTAACTTCAGATGAAGTGTATATAACAAAAATTTCCCCATTGTGCTCAGCCATAAATTTGCTCTTCCACCAATTTTTTACGAAAAAATTCTCAGGGCATTTGGGAGGGGGCAGTACATGAACAACCCAACTGCGCTTTTCTGGATCATAAACCCCCAACCAACCAGTGAGGCTCAGACAATAAAACTTTCCACCACAGAAGACCAGCTTATTCCAAATGCTGCTAACAAATGGCAAACGGTTTCTGTAATTGATGGTTGTCCATTCAGCTGCTCTAGGATGGCAGGTACTAATGGCAATAATGGTGGGGCTGATGTGCTTAATAGTAAACACAATACAGCAAGAAGACGTTGGAGCAGCAGAGAAGGCAACTATTTGGTATGTCAATTCAAGTTTAGGCAACTTAATCAACTCCCTTGTATAGGGGTTAACAAACATCAGACGATTGGTACTAGTCTTGTATATAAGCAACCAACCATCTTTCGAATAACAAACCTTGGAGCCAACTAACTCAGGCAACTCAAGAGTATAGAATGTACGGTGCAAAGGATCATAGAACTCAACCAAGTCCCCATATTTTGGAAAGAACATCAACCAGGGAGGTTTATTCACCACTCGCACTGAGATGGCAACAGCAAGCCACTGTTTACAAACAACAGAAGCACGGATATTTTCGCTCAAGGTTAACCGTGAGATAACCATTTCCAAAAGGTCCTCTGGAAGCTCCAGCCAGGTCTGCTGTGCATCTGGCTTATTCTCTTTATCTCTACTTTCTTCAGGTAATCTACAAGTATGAAATTGAGAAAAGTTAACGCCAGTAGTTCTCAAAGAATAATCGCAAAGACAACAAGCAAGAAGAGAAGGCCAACAAAGCCATAGTCACTAATAGATGTCCACAATGGATACAACGTAGGAATGTCATATATCTTACGCTATAATCCAAATATAACCCTACAACAACTATGCTGGAGTTTGAAACTGCATGACATGTGATTTGATCAATCCCCTGAAAAAAAAAATTGACAAGCCTGCAAAAGTTTAAATGAAGCCAAATTCTATGTGACCATCAATGACCAGAAGTCCCTGACTGCATCAATCAATCCATTTGATTAAGTGATAATGCACATTAATATATGTTTGGGTAGCCAAAGCGCATTAACCACAAATTATTACGTTGTGATCTCTAATCATCTCCATTTTCCATAGTAGTTTCAGAGGAACCTCATCCTCATTTTCTAAATGCAAAATTGCTAGGATATAGCCCCACAAACACAAACACATGCATCAAGCAATCTTCAATTTCCCAAGAGACGTAAACGTTCTGATGCGTAACACGAGATATAAAAGGATTCATTCGGTCTCTCGAGTAAACCTTTAAAAAAATGTTATAAAATTAAAAAAAAAAAGGTTGTACTATCGACAGCAATGAGATACCAGGAGTTGAATAAAATGATAAGTACTTAACCACATCTAAAAGAATTGGCGGGTTTGACATCCATCCTAGGCGAGATAAACACCACATTTGCATAAATCAAATAATCACACTCAAAATTCAACCGAAAAAATGATTTACTGAAAAGGATCAAACTCACTTTTTCAACTTCCTCCTTTTTCTTCCAGCCATCAGGAGTAAGGGGCAGAAATGATCTGGTTTCTGGAGGAGAAGGGAATCGAAGGCGGGCAGCCGGTTGGCCCCCCGGGGGCACTTTTGTAGAAATGTCGCGGGGGAGGATGGGGCGTTGAGAAGGGGAATTTACTGAGTGAAGCCAGCAGTGTAGACACTTCTTAAGACTCGCCACTTTTTATATACGACGACTACATGAGTAGTGTTTTACCACCTCAAATTATCTTTTTCCACAGTTGTTTACGTCTGGACAACGCATTATTTGAAATACCTCCTCCCTCTCATTAAAAAAGTATGCCCATAAATGTTATGAAATGTAAAATCTAAAAGAAGCAAGACTTGTCCATAAATATTATGAATTCAATTCTTAGTAAGTAATATTTTTAAATCCAAATTGTTAAGTGAATCGAATGAGTTTCTAGTTTTGTGGTTCAAACTGGTTCAACTAATTGAATCCTCTTTAAATGTATTTCTTTTCTTTATTTTTTATTTATTACAAATATATATATAATTTTTTTTATCAGACGGTAATAATTAGCCTAATCTACTTCTATTCATACTCTTATTCTAACCTACCTTACGGGAGGAGAGGTCCAATAGGGTTTAGAGAAATCGACGGGACTGAACCATCATTGGACTAGATGAGTATACTGCACACCTGTATGAATTTAGAAGAATCCATGTATAATGGCACATCGACGAGAGATAAGATTTGAACTCTTGACCTTCCAGGTGACTAACAGTCCAAATGGCCGTTGGTTATTACAAAACATATTCAAAAATTCCTTTTTTTTTTTAATATCAATTTTGACAAGTCAATTGGTTCTTGATTGAATTTGGTTGGTTCAAATGATTTTCTAAGTTTGTTAGTGTCATGACCAGTTAAACCGGTAGGGCCGGTCCTTTAATGTCCGTCCGTATGGGAACACTAGCCCAAAGATGGAGTTCAATAGTTCATCGCTAAGCTTGTTAGCCAAATTACGTTCAAAATCGCGGCTCTGCGTTGGAATTTTGAGGCTCCATCCTGTTGAACCGCTGGATCGGTTGTTAAGAGGCAAATAATAACCAAGACTTTGTCGGACATTTCTCATTTCTCTAATCACTCTTTAATGCAAAACGTTCAGTGCTGGAATCCTGCCATTTTCCCCAACAGCGGGCTACGTTATACTCACACGTCAGAGAATTATACTTTCAAAACCTTGGGCTACCTGCCAAGAAGATGGTTTAAACATTCTGGGCCCCTGAAAACCTTTCATTGTGGTTGGGCCAACGGGCTGCTTTGAGTGTAATACTAGAGGCCCTCCTTTCTGTCCATGCAGCCATGAACTCCAATCAACTGCCCAATTCGTCTACGAAGGGGAATCTATCACGGCGAACTTCAAGCCGAAATCAAATTCAAGAAAAGCCCATTATTTTGCAACCATGCAAGACGGGAAGAAATGCCAAATCAGGGAAACAAAAAAGAGTTTTTCTTTCTCAGAAGTTGTGAAGTTATTTAGCAATTAGTAGGAAAGAAAATGACAGAAAAAGGAATTGAGGGGAAGAAAATGATTTATCGAGCCACTAAGTTATCCAGAAATCTTAAAATAGCAGAGAACATGTACAAGCTAGCCCCAACACAAAACTGGACAGATCACCACTTGCAAAGGAGCAGAATAAGGGTAGAAGAAAGTTACGAAAACCTTCTTGCCCAGCCAGGTTTAAATCATGATGGTCAAAGCCCTGAAATAGACGGCAGATCTGGTTTGGTCTACCCCAAACCTTGTACTGTCCCTATTGAGCAAATCGCGGGATCGACCGACAGTCTGCAAGGGTGAGGCGCAGTCAACTCGACTGGAAATGCGAGCTCAGTCGACTAATTAAAAAACACAACACATAGGAGGAAATTTCATTGCCATTTGCACACAAATTGATCCAAATCAATACACATAATTTTAAATCCCAGGCCCTGAAAATCCAGGGTACAAGCATTGCAATTTGCAACCAAGACAAAATTACATACTACTCTAAAAATTTTTTTGGGGGGGTGGGGGGTGGGGGGGGATTGGTGGGGTGCTGTCCAAAAAGCAAACACACTTTTTTAAGGATCCCCCAACTACTGACAGAGGCCGTTAGAGTTCTTTCCACGTCCAAGAGGACCAAGAACTCCAACAAACCTCATTCTCCACACATGGGAGAACCAACGATAATTAGCACAAATCATTAAAAACAAATATTGGAGGTTAGCAATAACACTGGAATGAAGTTTTTAAGTTAATCTCAAGAGCAGAATGGACATTGAATCAACCCATTCTCATTGCACTCCTTGCACTTGACAGTCTTCTTCCCTTTCTCATCCAACACTTTGCAACTACCATTGCAATCTATGCACATTACAAACCTGACCCCTGCGCACCCATTGCAGATAGCAACTGCCTTCGGGATCCCGCTGAAGAGAGTACCTAACTTACCATCTTCCTCCAACTTCACTATCTCGTCAGCCCCACCAATCAACCTTCCCTTGACAAAAACCAAGGGAACTTTCACTTCTTTTGTGCCCATTAATCCCCTCAACTCATCCTTGAATCCTGAATGCATCGACACATCGCGCTCAAACATCTGAACCTGATGCGACTCGATCACTGATCTGGCTGTGTTGCAATCCTCAAATGTCTTCCTTATACCCCTCAGCGTGGTCGTATACAGGACCACCGCTTTTTCACCACCCGGGGGGCATTTTTCCTCGAAATTTTCGAGAATAGACACCGAGTCTTGGGAATTCCTCTTCTTTACCGCGGTGGGCGTTCCTGAAACCATCTTCTTGATTTGCTCTTTCTCTTCGGACAACTCTTTCTCGAATGATGCCACGAGTTCTGGATCAAACAGCGGGCCTAAACTCCTCCTCCGCGACAAAACTACCCCTGAATCAATCCTCAGACTCTCACATTTGGCATCATTAGGACTGTCTTTTCTTGGAACTCTCAGCATTGGAGACGCTTTTTGTGAACTCCCCTGCATATTACATGCTTTGAAGACCGATTTCGGGGTAGCGTTCTCTTTTCCTCCAAATTTCTTCAGTTTTCTAGGGGATGCCATTTGATTCAAGAACTTTAGTGGGCTTCTTGCGCATCCAAATCCCCGAACCCACGTAGAAGAAGTCGCGATTTTGGGCTTTTCTTGTCCGGGATCAAATTCGATAGAGGTACTTCTTCTTCCAGACCTTGCATTATCTCCCACGCATTGATAACTTCAGGCTCTTGTCGAGGAGGTGAAGGCTTCTTCAAATCAATCCCACATTTTTTGATGGATTGCAATTGTTGTTGAAGATGAAGATGTTCCCCCTGCTGCTGTTGCTGTTGGTTTTCTTTGTCAAGTCTAAGGACACCATAAGTACTCGACGTGAGAGAGACCACATGGTTGGAGATATTATCTGCTTTCTGAACCAAATTTTCTTGACTGAGATCTTTCCTGAACAACTTGGAAGAGACACAGCCCATTGATGCGGTTCAGGTGTCTTCTTCTTTCTCGCCAGTTATTTGTGGTTTTATGCGTAAGAAAGATTTGAAGGCTACTGCGGTGGTCCGATGGAAAGAGAAAAAGTGGGAGTTTCATTTTTTTAAACATTTCAGTAACCGTTATCCTGTCTCAAAAGGGCCCAACGGTCCGAAAATTCGAATAAGACTTGTCGTGGTAAACGGTGTGCGATGTCTTCGTGTCTTTCTCGTGGTAAAGTGTGCGCGATGTCTTCGTGTCTTTCTATCTTTTCGATCGTTCTTTCTTTTTTTTTTTTTTTTTTGAAAACTGCAAGAATATCTTTTGTTGTTAGGTTTTTTGTTTCAGTAATCTGTAATTTATTACTAGTCAAAACCTTTTTTCCTTTATTTTTAAATGAAGGCCGTAATTGATACTATGCACACGAATCACAACTCACAAATTGTACATTTGACACAACTCTTCTTAATTTTTGTGCTCCTTAATCCAAGATTTTACTCAATTAAAAGTTTTAAATATTAAATTTCTTATTAGTGAAATAAATCAATTATAATTGTAATTCTCCATTGCAACATTTGCTTTGAGATTAAAGAATCAAAATGAAGCAGAGAAAAGTATCTTCTTGAATAAATAAGTTAAAATTGCATTGACAAGCATCATGAGCTATGGAGAGATTGAAGTTCATCCTCTCACAAGTAACAAAGATGTAAACTCATTATAAGCGACCTACAATAGGACTACAAAACCAACCGAGTAACTTGCAAGCAACTAAATCGTTGATTTTGATTGCATTCGAGTCGATTTCAAACTACTCAATTAATCAAACAAATCGAGTATCGAGCATTGATATGTTAAGTTTGAGAGTTCGACAAGTCTTATTGAACGATATGTATTATAAAATTGTATAGTATAAATTACATATATAGACTCGAGCTTGCTCGATACCAAACGAGTCAATCTTAAGCACCTCATAAAGCATTGAACTCGATCATATAAATTAATGCTTGATCGAGTCGAGTTCGATAATTCAAACACTGCCAAGTTGAGCTTGATTTCGAGCATGCTCGGGATTGATTTGATTTGTTTTGCACCCTTAACATAGTATCTTAAACAAAAAAGACGTAGAGTATGATATTTAACAGCTAACTATCAGTCCCTTTGAGTCATCGGATCAACAAAAGAAAAAACTAAACGTTTAATCATAAATCAAATGTTCCTAATGGAAAAAATAAGGAGAAAATCATAATCAATGTGCACGGAGAAATGTGACAGGTTAGAAAAAGGTGGAAGTTTTATATGCTTCGTTACATTGTAGAACTACGGAAGAAAGAATAAAAGAGTTTTTGGGGGGAAAAAAAAGGAAAGAGTTTACAATTGGGAATTTGAATTCAATAAGCCCAAAGCATGAAATGCTCTCTGCAGCTCCCATGTTGTCGCTTGAGATCCATGGCTCCATGCTCTCTTCATAGGTAGGCCTGTCAACGGGCCGGGTCCGAGCCGGATTCGTGAAATTATTGCGGGTATGGGTAAGAATTTAATTCCGTTACTCGGATCTGAATCCGGATTCGTTTTGTCAAACAAAAAAATGGATCGGATACGGAATATAGTATTCCGATCCGTATTAGACCCGGATCCGAATATAAATAGATTAATAATTTAAAATATGTATATTTATCAATATAATTTGATTAGGGTGATGTATTTGAGTAAAGTCAATTTGATTTATTTTCTTATTTGGTTTTTTTTTTGTGTTAGTTAGAAATTAGTGTACAAATATATTTTTTTCATAAATTTTTTCGGGTAGACCCCGACCCTGATCCGAAATCCGTCAGATCTAGATCCGGAACATAGAGTAGAAGACCCGTCGGATAAACGGGGTCAAATCCGGATTCAATTTGATATGCCGGGTCCAAGTCCCGAATAATGAATTCCGCCCCAGACCCGGCCCGTTGACAGGCCTATTCATAGGCGTTTCGTTCACGCCTCTCATTTCTTTTGGGCTGCTCCTTAAGTCATCCTTCCAGCACTGCTCCTCAACCCATCCAGAGTTAATCTCTGTTTAGGCTGGGTCCTCAACGCTATTGCTTTCTTTTATTTTAAGAAAAATTAATACGTACAATTATTGCTGAGTCTCAGCCCCATTTGACAAATGAGTGTTTTGGATATTTATTTAAAACTTTAATGTAGTTTATTGTAGAAGTTGTAAGAAAAATTTTTGAAGTGTATAAATTTTTGAATATTTTGAAGTGTATGGTTTAAAAATTTTGAAAATTTTTTTGATGTTACTGTAACTAAAGTTGTTAAAAAACTTATTGCAGATAAATTTGGTCAAAAACTTATTTGCCAAATAAGCCGGTCATTTTCTGGGTTTCTCTGGGGGAGTTTCGAGAGGCAGACGAAACAAATTCATGTTTGACTTTCAATGTGCTTTATTATACTAACATCGGGTCACTGATGAGCAACTCAAGAGTTGTGGTGTTGATCCAATTAAGAAGGTCGAGGCCCAACTACTAAATTTTAACAAGTTTAAAGTATGATGATTAATACTCAGCACTTGTTTCACAATTTTACAAGTTTAAAGTATGATGATTAATCTATCATACCAGTCATCTCCAGTTTTTCTTTTCTTTTCTTTTCTTTTCTTTTTTGGGGGGGGGGTGGGGGGTTGGGTGAAGCCTAAGGTCATTTATAGGCCTGTCAACGGGTCGGGTCTAGACCCGGATCCGGACCGGATCCGTGAAATTATTGCGGGTATGGGTAGGGATTTAATTCCGTTTTCCGGATCCGGATCCGGATCCGTTTTGTCAAACAAAAAAACGGGTCGGATACGGAATATAGTATTCCGGCCCGTATTAGACCCGGATCCGGATATAAATGAATTAATAATTTTAAATATATATATTTATCAATATAATTTGATTAGAGTGATGTATTTTAATAAAGTTAATTTGATTTCTTTTCTTATTTGGTTTTTTCTTTGCATTAGTTAAAAATTAGTTTACAAATATATTTTTTTTCATTTTTATTAGAAATTATAAATTTTGCTAAATTTGTTCGGGTAGACCCGGATCCGGATCCGGGACCCGCCGGATCCAGATCCGGAACATAGAATAAAAGACCCGTCGGGTAAACGGGTCGGGTCCGGGTCCGGCATAGTAATTCGGGTCCGGGTCCGGGTCCGGAATAATGAATTCCGGCCCGGACCCGGCCCGTTGACAGCCCTAGTCATTTAGTAGCAGCATGACAAAATTCCAATGGATATATGGGTAAGCATGTTTTGGAATACATAAGTGAAAGACATATAATAAGGAAATATGTCGACAAGTATTTATTTTTTTCGTGTGGAATAATTTATGGGAAGATACCGTAGGCACTTGAAGCTGAAAATTTTCGTGTTTTAGGGTGAATTGGAGAAAGCAAGTAAAATATTTCGTTTGGATCAGAAGAAATATTAGATACTTTGTGCAGGAGAAGCATTTTTTTTCGGCTGTTCACGTTTCTGTATATAAAAGTACGACAAAAAAAAACATGACAACATATTTGGGGAGGCATTCGAGCTCAGCAATCAGAACTGATAAAATACTCTTTTCATGCCCAACACCCCTCTCCTCCTCCCGCAATAAAGAAGCAAATATCTGTGATTGGATAATCATAATTAACTGTCACTTTTCATTACTCTTGTCTCCACGTAATCAAATGGTACGCTTCATTTTTGTTTCCCTTCCAGAACCAGATGGTTAAAAATTTTATATTCTTTGAAATCGACTGATGCATGATGGATTGGAATGTGTAGATTCCCATAGCATGATCTTTTTGACATTTCTTTGTGTGTGTTATGGAATGGAAAACGTAGAGCTCCAATAATGAAGCACTAATGGGCTTCTAGAAATCTTTGAGCAGTGGCGTGAGCATTGACCTCGAGTTGTAGATCATGTTTCCCACAGTAGACGGCACTTTTTGTTTTTTTTTTTTTGTTTTTTGTTTTCGTCGCAACAACGACAATATATCATGCTCCTGCAACTACAAGAGAGGGGAGAGTATAAAAAAACTCGTATGAAAATTAGGGATGAACCACTAAATCAGATAAATACACTGAGTGTGTTTGGATCGTAAATTATTTGAGATATTTTTACTGTAACACTTTTTATGATGTGATATATGTAAGATAAAAAGGTGTATTAGAAATTATAATGGTGATGTAAGTAAATGTTTTTGGACAAATAATCTCCTGTTATTTCAAAGAGTTTTAAAGAAAATATATATATATTTTTTGCCAGCAACGATAACAATTTGCATAATCTATTACAGTCTAATCTAAGTGGAAGGAGAGGGAGAAGTCACACATAGTAATTGACGAGAAACAAGTATCGAATTCTCAACCTTAAAAGAGGTCTCGGTGACCAACCGGCAACCGGCCCAAGAGATGTTGGCTATTTCTCGAAAGAGCTTTAAAGAAACTCTCCTTCCTGTTCCTGCGTATAAAGCCACAATGGCTAAATCAAGTAAGCAGAAACTTTCTTGTTAGTCTCCGCACGTTAAACAGATTTGAACTGCATGTCAAATCAAGCATGTCAGCTGAGCGGCGAAGTCCAAGTTAACATGCT